TGGACCGTGCAAGCGCTCCGGCCGCTCCTCCCCACACACGGACACCCCCACTCTCCCCAACCGCTCCTCGAGACACCCCATCAGCCGATACGCCCTCCCTCCGCTCCTCGGGGGTCCTTGATCAGCCGGCATCCCTTCCCGTCGCTCTTTGGGGCTCCCTCCGATAAGCGACATTCTCCCTTCCCCTGCCTGCCTCATCACAGCCTCCCCGCTCGGGACTGCGCCTCCAGACCACCTCTCCGGCCCTGTGGCATGCTCAGCCCCGCGGCGCCGCCGCCGCTGGCCCGCCCCGCAGCATTTTAAACAGCGGGCGGACGGGGCCCCATTTGGCCGCTTCACACCCAACGGCTGCGCACTGCCCGGTGACGGCTGCGCCACGCAACGCGATTGGCTGAGCCGCGGGACGGGGCAGGGCGCTCCGCGCGAGCAGTAAGGGGGCGGGACTGGGGTGGGACCAGGGCGGGGCGTTCTTGCTGGGGCGGGGCGATCCAGGCCGGGGGCGGGGCGGCGCAGGAGGGACCAGGCGGGGGCTCAGGGGAACAGGAGTTTATGGCGGGGTGGGGGCGGTCGTGGCTGCCCACGGCTCGCAGCCGCTCATGAGCAGGTAGGACTAGCTGGCGATGTCGGTGCTGGACAGGCGGCCCCCAAGGTGCTCCAGCGGCGGGCCCGCCTCACGCCGCGGGCCGGGGAGCACCTCCAGCCGGCAGGGCAGGACGGCCTCCTCCGGCGGCTGCTTGTCGAAGGCGCTGGCCTGGGGGGACACGGAGTGGACGGGGTAGGGGGTGCCCTTCGAGCTGCCCCCGGGAGCAGCTCAGCCACCCTGCCCACCCACTCACCTGGCCGTGCTTGCTGCTTTTCTGGAGGAAGCTGCCCAGAGCACGGTGCAGGTCAGGAACAGGCAGCCAGAGTTTCTGCTTCACGTTGCTGGGTACGGAGGAAGGGGCATCGAATTTACCCTCAGACTTGAGGTGCCCTAATGCCCCGTGCAAGGTGCCCAGGCTTGGTGCTGGACCCCCTCGCCTGCCCCCGGCACAGGTCTTTACCTGTAGAGGGAGGGGAAAGTGCAGCACAGCCCCAGGAGCGCTACTGAGAAGAGCAGCGGCACCGCCGTAACACTGGGGATGAGCCAGCCTGCATCGGAGGAGGAACGCTGAACTGTAGCCCTTCCCAGACCCACCATCTCTGAGCCCCTCGCAGCCCCCTGCCCCGTGCTCCCCTCGCCATTTCCAGCACTCTCCGCCTCTTGCCGTCAGCCGTGTGGCTCCTGCGGCGGCAGCCTCCAGCCCTGCCCCTTACCCGCATCGGCCACGGCATCAACCACAACGGGTTTGGGCCCGGCGCTCCAGCTGCCCCAGTACCACGGCCCACTGGGCTGGGCCCGCATCTGCGCGGGGTAGCGGGACCCTGGCCGCAGGTCCAGGACCTCTTTCCTCGCTGCTCGGGGAACCTGCATGACCTGCGGGGCAGAGCCAAGCTGGAGGTATGGCTGCTGTGGGCTGGCACCAAGGGGTGGGTCCCGCTTGGCCCGACCCCGCGCCTGCCGTGTGTCAGCAGCGGAGGGGGGCAGCGCTGCTTGGGGTATCCTGGGCAGGCCTTTCCTTCCAGTCATGGCTGTTCTCCGTGGCATAGCGGACCTGGTAGTCCAGCTGCTCTGCCAGCAGCTCCAGGGGCGGCAGCCACTGCAGGCTCAGCCGGCCCGGCGACACTGTTGCCTGCACAAGCTGTGGGGCATCTGTGAGCACTGCTGGTGTTGGGGATAGGCATTTGTCACTCCTGTGAAACGGGACACGGGACACTGTGTCCCCTGTGAGCCATGCAGGGGCTGTGGTGGCACTGGGACTCACCAGCCTGGTGCAGCCAAAAGGGCTCCTTGAAGTAGCTGAGTGTGGGCAGCATGTGGGTCCTGGTGACATTCACCAGGACAGAGATGGCACTGCCAGCCTTGGGCTGGAAGGTGCAGGCATAGGTGCCCTGTGTCCCCCTGCTCACCTCCTCACACTGTTGCCATGCATCTCCCCTGTAGAAGGAATTTAGGAAATATAGGGATCAACTTTTAAGGATTATGGAACATAGATAGCTTAGATAATAGAGGATTGTTTAGCTTAGAATAGTGTTGTTAATTTAGGGAAGCTTTTAAGTAGAAATGAAAGAATTGTCATAATAAGAATTAAGCTGTGCGAGGAAAAGCTGGGCTGCAGCCCAACTGGAGCCTGTAGGTGCTCCAATCTGTCAGCCTGAACAGGCCACCTGCAGGACAGAAGGATGAAGATGGAGAAGTAGTGAGGGGATACTTTGTTTCAGCCCAAGTGCCAATAGAAGTCTAAAATGTCCCGAGTATTGTTAGACTCCCTTCCTTGCCAGCCAGGCTGTAGCTAAGTGGACAATCCTTTTCAGAGGCCCAAAGAACATAGTGAGGTAAGCAGCTTTGCTTACCTGAAGTGTGGAATGCCCGTAGGAAGCTGCGAGACTTGTCGGTATTGAACGCCAGGAGATGAGCTCACATTCAGGACAACACTAGGAGGCAGATGTGCAGTCCTTGCTGGGCCTCTTGTCTTGAAGATGTCACGGTGATCAGCAGCAATCACCATTTGGTTCCCACCCTCCCCTCACTATGTCACCTATGGGATGGAATGGCATTGTCATAGCAGCATCTGGCCCTTCCTCCCTGATTCTCTTTTCCTCCCTTTTCAGCTCAGAGCCGCAGGGACCATTTGGGCCAGCCTCATCCCCCACGGGTGTGTGCAACCACCAGGGCCTCCTCAGAGCCCCATTCCCACTCTGCTGCCTCCTTGGCCTTTTCCCACATCTGGGCCAGCCTGCTGTTGCCAGCTGTTGGGCACACACACACACAGCATACCACACCTGCCAGGGAGCAATTTGATGCCAGAGCCCCTGCTAACCACGGCTCAAGAGCCTGGCACTTTTCCCACCCAGCTGTGGCTCCATTTGGACTCCATCTGCTGGGATACCCACTGTGAGGGACTGCTCAGGGACTGAAAGCTCCTTGAATGGTGCCCACAGGCCTGATTTCCACACCTCCCCATTCCTCCTACCCCTAAGGCTGCCTCAGCCTTCTAAACACAATTTTTCTTACTCTAATGGCTTCCTGTGCTTCACTGCATACTGTAAGCAGGAGTACACAGTTTTGATTGTCTTTATTCTAGAATTAATAAAGAGAAGTTGGAAGTGCTGCTAGAGCTTGTCATTTCAAACTTGAAGCAACTGCAAAAAGTAGAGAAGCTTTCTGTGCAGCTTTTCAGTGAATTTGAAGTCTCCTTCCTCTTCACTCAGTTTCAGCATATCTGTTGATTTTCCTTTGCTGTCCTCTTTTAAACTTCATCACTTGTCTATCGATCTGTAAAAAATACCCTGTAAACCCAACACAAATTTACTATTCTTTGTATTTTTCCTCTTCTGGAAAAGTTGAGGCTCCTGTGATCTTCTCCTGTGATCTAGACTTTGATTCCCATCTTGGCACTGGCTAAGAGCAGAACAAATGGAATTTGTTACCTGCTAGTAAGATCTGCTAGCAAAGGTCACAGTTAGAGCTAAGCATGGTGCTTCTCTCCCTCCGCTGAATACACATCTTTGTGTCTAGGCCTGGTAGTTTCCAGGAGCACCTGGGAACAACTGCCAAGGACAAAAGTCTCACTCTTGCTGGTTTGGACACGGATGTTTGGTAGGATTTTGATCTACATCTACAGTGACCTACAGGAACTGGATCTTTGACACAAAGTGCCTTCAATCAACATTTCAAAGCATAGTGGGCAATGAAGTCCAGATACTAATGAGTAGTGGTTTGTTTGAACTCTGTGTAACATATGAGACAATATCCCAAAACATGTTATTTTTGAGTGTTTCAGGCATTTAAAACTCAGGCTTATTCTTGTCAACGCTTTTCTTTCCTCCCTTCAGAAATCTGCATGCCCAGGTACTAATTTCTTTCTCAGTTTGTTGACAAGTGACCTGTCAGACAATACTTGTTTCTTGACCCACAGATGGGGCAACTGTCACCATTAGGCCGTGAAATAAACAGGGCCAGGAGACACTTCTTCTCCTTTTTAATGCCGTTATTAAAAGTGATCAGCTCAGGATTGGGCGGCTCGACGGGTCCGCAGCGTCCCGTTGTCTCCCAAGGCGACTCAGAGGAGGAGGATATGCACAGCTTTGTCCACCAGGGGCAGAGCTGGGGATCAGATCCTCGTGGGAGCCTTTAGGGCCTGCTGATCCCTTGCAGTAGTTCCTACTTCTGCCGGCTGTCTTAGCAGGCCCTCATCCCTGGGGGCTACTCCCATGGTCAGGGCGAGAGGCTCCGAAGGTGTTCCGCATCTCTGCAGGCTCAGCACTCGGCTCCTCACGTCCAGACATCACTCCAGTCTCTCAACTCTTATTTGGCTCGTTGTTTTAGGGGTTTCTCCATGGGTTTGGAGTCGGGGGTCCCACAAAGCATTCTGGTCCTTGGAGTCACTTTGCATAACCCCCTCACCTTCTCAGGTGTCTTCTCCTCACTGTTCGGGAAGGTTCCCACCCTTCACTGTGTCAGAGAAGGGCCATTACCTTGCCCTAGCCAGGGCTTTTACTAATACAAAAACAACCATTAACGACAACGACCCGTAATTACCATAACACAGGCAGCAGCCCAGCAGTAGTGGTAACTTTTTTCTCACAGAAAAAAATCAACTGAATTTTTGTTCATAACAGGCCAGACGTGACATACACACATGATCAGGGTCCAAGAAGAAAAAGGGTTTTTTTATTCTGCGTTTTCTCCCGCTTATACATTCTTAACAAAGCGTGATCTTCAGTCCGCCGCTGGCCTTGGCTCACAGGTGGCCATCAAGCGAGTGTCCCGGGAGCGCATCTCAGAGTGGGCACGGCTGGTGAGTGAGCGGGGCCAGTGGGAGGAGTCAGCAGGGCGTCCCAGGCGAGGCCCGGCAGGGCGGCAGCGAGGGCAGCGAGCATGGAGTGAGTGGAGGCCACGCAGCACCACGGGCCGGGCCATGGCGAGCTGCAGCGGGGCCGGGCAGGGGCTGCCCGAGGTGCGGCGCAGCATCGGCCCCGCTGACGGCATCACGGTCCCCTGTGCCACTGGCCACTATATACATTCATGAACGAGACGGGGCATCCAAACCAGTGTCGTGAGCTATTTATTCAACACATCAGTCTCAGTACATTGTTAGGACAATGGAGACAGATTATGTTAACAGCTCTCTGATCCAAAGGAAATGCCAAGGGGGTGTTACATTACAGCATAGCATAAAGCCATCTCAGCCTAGGTTTTAGCTAATGACACATAGAGCAAAACATATTGACAAAAATTCTATCCAATCATATGAAACATACGTAATGGTACTTAGCACAATAGCTCATTCATGAGAGACAAAGCACAGAGAATCATTCATCCTAACCTTCTAAAGATATACATTAAATAACCTTGTTGCAATCTATAAAGAAAGATTACAGAAGTCTATTGTGCAATTTCTCAAGTCTGCTCTACTGCTTAGAAAGCTTTTCACTGTATTAGCAATGTTCACAATTCTACTGTCAAAAGCCTGCCTTTATAATCACTTTTCTAAAAACCCTCTCATTTTATGAATCCCAGCACTCCCGCAGCGCAAGGGCACCCTTGTGCCCCTGGAGCCGGCGCTGCTGTGGAACGTGTCGTGGCCTGGCTTCCGCAGCATCGTGCAGCTCCTGGACTGGTTCGAGGTGCCCAAGGGCTTCGCACTGCTCATGGAGCGTCCGCAGCGCTTTCAGGACCTCTGGTGCTTCCTGCACGAGTGGCGGTTCCTGACAGAGCCCGTGGCGCAGGGGCTGCTCCGCCAGGTGCTGGAGGCCGTGCGGCGCTGCAGCAGGTGCAGCATCCTGAACTGCCACATCAAGGCCGAGAACGTCCTCGTCAACCTGGCCACAGGTGAGGCAAAGCTCATCAACTTTGGCTGCGGCATGGTCCTCCAGGACACGTTCTACACCCGGATGTCAAGTGAGCCCAAAGCCGGGACCCAGCCAGGCAGCAGAGGTTCCCCCCTTGGCTGGCAGAGCGGGAAGAGGGAGGGAAGGAAGGAGGGGGAATCCTTCTTCAGCCAGCTTCAGCCAAGTTGCTTTTTGGCAGGGCAGGGGCTGGCTGTTGTAGAACAGGAGCTGGCTGGGAGGGAGGGGGCAGCAGGGCCTGATGAGCTGCCCCCGTGTCCCATAGGAACCTCAGAGTACAGCCCACCGGAGTGGATCCTCTTTGGCTGCTACCATGGCCAGCCAGCCACCATCTGGTCCCTGGGCATCCTGCTCTGTGAGCTGGTCTGCGGGCACCATCGTTTCCACACCAACGAGGACATCGTCCAGGGCCAGCTCTTCTTCCCACCCCAGATGTCTCAAGGTGGGGATGTGCCTTCAAGGCACGAGGGGAAGAACGGGGTTGTGAGAGGCAGCTGGCACATAAGCGTCCTGCTCTTGCAGCTGGTGAGGAGGTGGATCTCCTGGGCTCAGCTGAAGGAGGTGGCACCTGTGCCTCTGTGCTGGTGTCCTCCGCAAGAGAGGATCGATAGGAAGCTTTTGGGTGCAGCTCTGAGCACTCCTGGTGTGGCCTGGGCACTGTGGAATGTGGGAGGGCATGGACTGGAGCCTTGTCCTGCTGAGCAGTGGTTTCTGGCTTCTCTCTGCAGAGTGCCAGCACCTCATCAGGTGGTGTTTCTGCATGGACCCCACAGACAGGCCATCACTGGAGGACCTTTTTGAGCATTCTTGGCTGCAGGAGCCCTGCCTGGCCCAGGAGACAGCAGAGATGCATCCCTGTGCACAGTAGGATCCAGGAGCCCAGCAAGTAGCAGCGGCACGTGTCTCGTGGCGCTGGAAGAAAACCCCGGAGCGTTTCCCTGTAGCCACAGCACGGAGGAGAGAGCGCAGCCGAGGAGATGCTTCTTCTGGTCCCCATGAGCTGTGGAGGGAGCGGCTCCATGCTGCCTGTCCCATTGGAGAAGTGGTGGCAGGGCGGTGAAGGTGCCACAGACTGAGACAGGGGAAACATCCCCCTGCAGCTCAATGGCATCGTGATGTCCCCACAAGCCGAGGCACAACTGGCGTGTTCTTCTGGAGCACGACGTGGAGCTGGGAACACCATCCTGGAGCTGGCCGCTGGCAGGGCAGAGCCCATTGGCTTTGGCTGTGGCCCCTGCCTGGAGGACACGCTCTGCGCCCCGATGGAATCAAGATGAGTCCCCAGCCAGCGCAGGGACGGGGGGATGCTGGTGCTTCCAGGCACGGCAGGGCTCGGCCTGGCCACGTGCCGGAGGTTCCCCACTCAGCGGTGCTGGGGAATATTAATTTTCCTACCGGCCGCCGAGCTGCTTTTTGGCGGGACAGGGGACGGATGTTGTGGAAGGAGAGCCGGCTCCTGGCCTTGCTGACAGCTTCTGCCAGCCAGCCTGGCACGGGCTGAGGCGGGGGCAGCCAGCCTGACAAAAGCATCCATCCATGTGGATAGGGGCAGCAGAGGGGGCAGGTTGCGAAGCCGTGCCCCAGTTGGCCTGCTCTGCAGGCCCTTGAGGAAGGGGTGCCTTTATGGGCGGGAAAGGTGGGGATTTTCCCCACCTGTGGACAGGTTTAATTCTCCCATGGAGTGGTCAGACCCTCTACAAGCCTGTGAAACGGTGACAGGCTTTGTGCTTTCTCTTGTTTCCAGGTCTCGTTTTGAATTGACTTTCATGCAATTGTTCTTTGTTTTTCCCAGGAGGATTACACCTGGTGCCCGGACTGGACGGGGAAGCACCTGCAGCATCCATGGAGCGCATCCAGTGCCAGTGCTGCCCCAGGGGCCACAGTCTGCAGAGACAGCCCCTTCCAGAAGGATGAGGACCTGGTGCGGGATCGGCTCCTCTCCTGGCAGCAGCTCTCCAGAGGTGGGCACCCGGATCCACAGCTGGGCTGGCAGAAGGGCTGTGGGCAGGCGGCAGCGGGCACACGGGCATCCCGCTCCTGCAGCTGCTGAGGAGGTTGCTGTGCCGTGATTAAGCAGAGGAGGTGGAACGTGGCCTGCCACGCTGCCCTTCTCTAAAAACAGAGAATGGTTCGGGAGGTTTGGGCTCTGAGCACAGCCAGCAGCCTGGCCTGGGCACAGCCATGGTGGGACAGGGGCACAGGAGCCTGCTGTGACTGACCATGGCTCTCTGGTTTCTCTCCGCAGGCTGCCAGCGCCTCATGCCATGGGAACCACCCCACTTGGCCTGCCAGGCTGGGAGGGCTGGAGGGCGACTGGCGTTCATTTGCTGTCAAAAATAAATTGGGGGTTTTTTGTCATTGTCATCATCGGAGCGTTTCTTTCATCCTTTTCCAAGCTTTTGGCCTCCTGTGATAAATGGATGTGGTTCATGCTAAGAAAATTGTAATTATATCAATATTTTTGGAAAATAATTGGAAATGTAAATATGATTAATATTATGTGTTGCCTTCTGCAAGGCAAGGCGACCTGGTTCTGAGGAAACAGCACGGCGACCCACTCTCCAGGGTCGCTCGGGCCAGGAACACACGCTAACACCAATGTGGTAGACGGTCCAAAGGCCTTTATTACTTCTTCTCGTGGGGTTTTATAGTCTAAGGGGTTCTCTACGTCAAAAAGGGGGTCTGTCCTTATTATCTATGGTTAGCAAGGAATGGAAAACTACTGGGTAAGGAATGGAAAGTTACTAGCACTACTGTTAGTGGGGCCACACTCCTAGGGTAATCTCTTATCTTAGGGGAACAGGGGGTCCTGCCTTTCTGTGACATCGCGTAATCTTCTGGAGCGCCTGCCCCTATCTACCACATCTCCCCCCCCTTTTTCACAAATGAATGAGGTAGTCATATACATAGGTACTAAAATGAGGTATAAGGTTGTGACTTGACAAGGGAAAGGGGTTTTGGAAAACCTGAGTAAGCTTTTGCCAGACAAGTTTGGAAAATCTTGTGACTGGCAGTGTTCCCTGGTTGAATTCACAGCAATTGTTGTCGGCCTAAGAACAGGATGTTGGTCTGTTCCAGGCGGCTCTGAACGAACGAGACCAGCGTGTTCAGCAGGCATGGTCCGAAGGTAACTGTTAGAAGCAGCATCGCCAATGGACCTATCAGGGCAGAAATCAGAGTGGTTAGCCAAGGTGATTGATTGAACCAGGACTTGTACCAGCCCTGTTGGGCTTCCCTGTCTTTCTGTCTCTGAGCCAGTCAGTTCCGGAGCTCTGCCATGGAGTCTCTCACTACTCCTGTGTGGTCTGCATAGAAACAACACTCCTCTTTCAAGGCAGCACACAGGTCCCCTTGCTGCATGAACAGGAGGTCCAGGCCTCGCCTGTTCTGCAAGACCACTTCTGAGAGTGAGGAGACCGACTTCTCTAGAAAGGAGATGGATTTCTCGATCCTTTGCAGGTCCTCATCAATGGTCTGTTGCAGCTGGGACAGTCCTTGGTGCTGGGTCGCTAGGGCTGAGACACCCGTGGCTGTTCCGGCTGCTCCCAGGCCGAGCAGCATTGCGATAGTTATACCTGTCATTATTTCTCTTTTGTGGATCCGGCTGGGTTCCTCAAGAAGATGGTACACTTCTTCGTCTGAGTGGTACAGGACCCTAGGAACAATCAGAACTTGGACACAGAAGTCGTTAGAGTCATTGAATTTGGGAAGGAACACACAAGGACTCACTCCAGATTGCTGGCAAACCCACATCCCAGATGCGGATGGGACTGCCCACTTATTGTTTTTCCTGTTAGGCTTGACAATTTTGGTGCAGATGTTGCCTCCCCACTTAGCTAGGGTTGCATTGCCAAAGCATCTGCCTCGGCCTGTGACTTGACTCTGGGTGATTCCTTTGCGAGGGGTATCCCATCTGCACTGGTGAGGGGCATCGGCTGAGGAATAATTGAAGGGAGTGTTTAGAGCGACTCCTTCGTAAAAGGGGGGTTTGACATCATAACAAAGCCAGCAGGATTCGGTTAGGTTAGGGTTGGATTCGTTCAGGGATACAAAGGTAGCTTCTAACATACGAAGGATTGGGTCTGAGTCTGACTCGGTTAAGTGGCTCATCTGAAAGGTTTCCGCTTGACCGGTCGGGACATTGCTGACCCCTGTGGGTAAGGCTTTGGGGTAGCTTACGTTTCTCCCTTTCGTCACGCTTTTAATCGCTTTGTTGGGTCCGACCGCTCGGGGTGTCAACGGTTGGAGCCTGATAATTTGCACGTTCACCCTCTCTTTTGACCCTTGAAGGACTACTGTCCACGTTTTGCCTGTGGCCCAGCTAGGGTGATCTGGCTGCAAGACCGTCATGTTGTAATCAGTGCATGCCCAAAATCTAGGGATTTTATGTCGGTTTCGATGGAAGTTTCCTAGAAAGAAGAAGGGTGTTTTGCAGCCGATGGGTGCCCAGGTGAACTGTAAGAATTTGTCTGGCTCTTGTGGATCCCACCCAGGCCCCGACCGTCTGGCATCTGTAACTATGGTTTCGCAGCCCCAGTGCCCACAATATCCCCACCCTGGGTAATTGCAGTAGATTTTCCCAGGGTTTGAAGCTGGGCACCAGTAGGATAGGTACGAGTGTGTGACGTGTGGGGAATAGGGGTTTACCTTTGGCTGTCCTGGAAACAGGTCGGTGATGCGGAGCACGAAGGATGGGGTGTTTGGTGTGGTGATTTCTTTGAGCACTTTGCCACTCCTAAGGTGTCGCATGACCCACCTGAAGGGCCGATGGGGGTAGTGGTCTGGGCTGGCTTGCCCTCTGGCGACAAGCCCCAACAGCAAAATCCCACAGAAACACCCTTGGTGCTTGGGTCTCACCCGTGCGGGTCTCTCGGGCGCTGCCTGACGGCTTGGTGGTCTGTCACTTTCGTCTGGAACCGGGACGTACGCGTCACGAGGACGTCCCACAAGCATTTCCTGTTGACAAAGACTCGCAATTCTCGTCAGTCTCATTCTGCTCGCTATGAAAGTCCGGTTTAATCGATTTAAGTGGACACCACCTGATTTTGCCGTCCTTTTTGACAGCTGCGTATCCTCGCCCCGTGAGCATCAGTCTCCAACCCCATTCCCACTCGCCTAGCTCATTTCTAATTACCACCTGTGGGCCCTCTTCTAGCGTTCGAGTGGCCCAGTGTTTTTGGACGGGACTGTTTGTTTCATCTCCCCTAGGGAATTGATTCAGTGCCAGCAAAGCGGTTGCCAGCATACGTGCCTGATCTCCTGGGGGAATGGAATTGGCAAAGCCCTCTGCTTTTGCCAACACTTCTATCTTGGTTTTCAGGGTCTGGTTTGCTCTCTCAACTATGGCCAGTCCGGTACTGTTATACGGGATACCTTGCACTCACGTGATGCCCCATTTCGAGGCGAATTGCTGTACTGGTTTGGAGGTGAAATTGGAGCCATTGTCCATTTTGATCTGCTTGGGGATACCAAGCCAAGACATGGCTGTCACCCAGTGCTGAATTGTGGCTTTGGAGTTAGTTTTGGGGTGCTGTGTGGCTATGATCGTTCCGCTATAAGTGTCCACTGTCACTGCAAGCCATGCTCGGGGCTTCAGCAGTTGACATAAGGTGAAGTCTGACTGCCAGATTTCTGAGGGCTTGAGACCTCTCGGGTTGACTCCGTAGGTCCAAAGGGGTGACTTCTGGCAATGAGGGCAGGTGACTACCACATGTTTGGCGTCCGCTGTCGAGATTCCGCATCTCTTCGCCAGTGCTTTGACTCCGATGTGGAGCGACTCGTGCAGTTGACGAGCTTTTTGCAAGGTCCAAATACCTTTTGCTGCGGCGTCCGCTTTGTCGTTGCCGATCTGGAAGTAACCTTTGACTGGGTCATGGCTGTTGATGTGAATGACTGACACGGTGCCCTGTTGCGAGGAGAGTGCTTCTTCCAGCATTAGGGCTGCTGCTGATGTTGACACACCTGGTCCTGCCATGGCTAGGCAGAGCCTTGCCACGAATATGGAGTCTGTTACGGTGTTGAGGTGTTCGTCTTGGAAGAGTCTGCACGCCAAACCCACTGCTGCTGCCTCCAGTTGTTGCACTGACAGTGTGGAGTCACATGTTTTGACGCAGTGCCATTGCTCTCCTGCCTGCCACACTGCTGTTGCGGTTGAAGTCGTGGAGGAAGCGTCTGTGAAGACCGTTGGTCCTGGCTGCAGTCTGTCCTTGATCTTCGGTGGCATGTCCATGTCGACAATGGTCAGCAGCTGAGTCCAGGGTGGTCTGGAGAAGTAGGAGATTTCTCCTCCGAAGCTGGAGAGAGCAAGGGCCAGGTACTCCGATATTGTGGCTGACTCCGTGGTCGGCTGCTTGCGAAATGGAAGGTGGATGCTTGTCGGCTCGGTCCCTAGGTGTTTCAAGGCGAGTTTCCTGCCTTTCATGATGAGGCTGGCGATGCATTCGATTCCTGGGGAAAATGCACAAGCGGGTCTTCCGAGGACCACCCATTGGATCGGCCGGGCCTTTTCTGCAAGTCCTTGGGCCACTTCTCCCACTCCCCCCTTCGGTGTAAAGTGGATGTACAGGTCCAGTGGCACGGCTGGGTTCCACCTGGCAAGTGTGCCAGTGGACATCTGGCTTTCGATGAAGTCGAGGGAGCTCGTTGCTTGCGGTGTCAGCTCCTTGCAGGGGTGCTTTCCTTTCAGGAGGTCATATAGAGGGTCCATGACCTCGGGAGGAATCAGGACAATGTTGCGAAGCCACTGCAGCGATCCCACCAGGCGTTGCACGTCATGGAGCGTCTTGACGTCTCGGTTGACCATCATCTCGGGGGGTGTCACGTAGGAGCTTGTAATTCCTACTCCCAGGAAGGTCACGCAGGGTGCTCTCTTGATCTTTGCGCTCGCGATCTCGAAGCTGTTGGCCTGAAGGGTCTCCGTGATTGTGGACACCAGGTGATCTACTTGGCTTGTCGATGGTGC